TGGTTGATATTGAATTGATAAAGTAAGAAAAAGTAAAAATGATTTAGAGACAAACTTTACCAAATTTGGTACGAGACACAGTGGGAAGGACAAAAAACGTAAAATGAGACAATCTTAGATGGACGGAGGGAGTAGTTAGTTATAATCTTCCAAATCTCTGATTGATCGCTAACCTGTTTTTCGGCTCTTGAATCAATGGAATTCCTTGTTTATTCAAGATTGTTATATGCTGTGTATTGTTTATTATTAGGTAGCAGTGGCACATACAATTGGGCATGTAGCAGCAACAGTAAGCATGTCAAAAGTTGCAGTTTCATTCACACACATAATTAAGAGTGGGGAACCGGCTTTTAGTGTGTTGGTGTCAAGGTTTTTACTGGGTGAGAGTTTCCCTCTTCCGGTTTACTTGTCTCTACTTCCGATTATCGGCGGGTGTGCACTTGCTGCAGTCACTGAGCTCAACTTCAACATGATAGGTGAGAACCATCAGCAATTACTATTAGTGATTTCCTTAGGATCTGTTTGGGTGGAGAGTTATGTTTCATGTGAAAGGCTTTGGAAGGCTTACTCTATATTTTAATAAACACAGTGTTTTTTAAAAGAAAACTGTGGTTCTTATAATTAGTTACTTTATATATCAAGATACATTAAGAAAAAACCTTCCCTCCAAAAACCAAGGGAAGGTTTTTGGATTTGCACTATGGCTTGATTGGTTTCGGCATTTCGGAGCCTCGGAAGGAAGGAGATGGAAGGATTGTTTTTTCTTTGACAAATATATCTCTATTTTTAATTTAGACTGCAAACAGCTACAAATTTAGTTTGATCAAATATTTCTATATAGTTTTTTATTTCATTTTATTTCCAATTATCCAAATGTAGAAATATTTTTTTTAAACCCTTCAAATCCTCGAACCAAATAAACCCTAGAGAAAAATAATTATTCCTGAGTTCATTCATTCTTTTTATAACAAGACCAACGACAAGTCGACAACAACAATGATAATAAGTTGAATGTCCTCTGTTGCAGGGTTTATGGGGGCCATGATATCGAATTTGGCGTTTGTGTTTAGGAATATATTCTCAAAGAGAGGGATGACTGGGAAGGCTGTGAGTGGGATGAACTACTACGCGTGCTTATCGATATTGTCTCTCGTGATTCTTACTCCTTTTGCTTTATATGTGGAAGGCCCCAAAATGTGGGCAGCTGGCTGGCAACAAGCTCTTTCTCAGATTGGTCCCAATTTTGTTTGGTAAGTAAGGCCTTTTTGTTTTTGTGAACTGGCTTCCTTCCTGTTTTGGCAAGCCTTTCATCTTTTGTGAGGGTATAATAGAAAGGAAAAAGTAACAGGGGAAAGCCACTTTCAATTATATTTATGTATCTTGGAGTAATGTTTAAATCATACGGTTTTAAGTTTGGTTTTACATGGAAACATACAAATGAAAACCACCTCATTAAAAACAAAACTTTACATATATATATTTTGATTTCTTACTCTATGTTGTACGGAGTATAATAGAAAGGTTTTAATAAATATGTTTGCACAAATATCTGAAGTTGATTTATTGATTTCAAAGCAATTTTTATTTTCCATCCACCTTTTGCTTAGTGTTTATGCAACAGAAATATTTTATTTAACCAGATCTAAATCGATTTATTAATTTTGAAGCAACACCCCCAACCTCAAATTTATACCTTCACAAATCTCCTTGAGTATTTTACGAGTTCCAAACGCCCGTTTACTGATGTAAGGTTAAATATTTAATAGTGGCAATGGTGGGTGTATTTGTTTAAAATGCATTTGTATATTCTTTGATCTTGGCAATATGATGGAATTTAGGTGGGTGGCAGCACAGAGCATATTCTATCATTTGTATAACCAGGTGTCGTATATGTCGTTGGATCAAATCTCTCCATTGACGTTTAGCATAGGGAACACAATGAAGAGAATCTCTGTGATAGTTTCGTCCATCATCATCTTCCGTACACCTGTTCAACCCGTTAATGCTCTTGGAGCCGCTATTGCTGTCCTAGGAACCTTCATTTACTCCCAGGTGATCAATCACCTCTCCATGTTTGTTAATACTACCTTTAACTGCTTTCCTTCTTATTTCATGTGGAAAGACTTTTGCAAGTCAAACGCATTCTTGTTTTCTCTTCCATTTTGTCCAAGAAAAATTTGAAATTGGGAAATACGGAGTACTTGGTAACTTTTAAAAAGGTATGCTTTGCTTTAAGAGTGCTAAGTAACTATTGAAGTCTTTGCATATCTTTGGTCGTTTGGTAATTGTTTCGCACTTTTGCCTGACGGCGTATTAGGAAAATCAGCTTGGTTTGAAAGAATAGTTGTGCTAAAAGTGTGACTAAACTAATTCATGGTTAATCAAATTATCATAAATGAATAACCCTAGTAAAGATGTTTTCCCCGGGTTTTTCAAAAAAAAAAATCCCTCCCCCCCAATACCTTTGTTATTTTAGCCGGTATTTTCTTCTCCCAAAATAATTTTTCGGTTTCGGAATTGAATTCATATTTTTTCATGTTTTCTCATTGCCTCTTTGCATATATTAAATGCCATTTTGCTTTTAAAAGATTTAACAGAAAACATTTATAGGGATAAAATGTCTTTTTGTAAAACGTCTTAATATGTGCACATTTTCTAAAACATCAATCAAATGGCAGAACAGTCATTTCAACAAAACAAGAAAGTATGAAGTCTAAGTTAATTTTTTCTAATTATGGGCCGATTCAGCTGATGATCGCCTTACTTCAGACCTGAAATGCTAACTGACATGAATCTTTTGCTTATGATGAACAGGCCAAACAGTGAGATATATGGCTGAAGGATCAATGTAATTTGTGGAGATGATAGGGCTCTACCAAAGAGATTTCTCTAGTTTTACATTTTCTGTTTTTCTTTTCATTCAACATTACATGTACGTTTGGGGAGTCCCAGTAGACAAATTGAGCTTGGAATAATAATACAGTGCCTTCTCTCAAGAGCAGAGCCTAGTTAATTAGTTTGGAATTCTTTTTTTAAAAAATATTTTTTATTTTTTTATAAATCGAACCACTTAATCCAGAACTTCAAAAATTTCACTAGAATTGACCAATACCGCCCATTTGAATATTACCCATTTAATCTCTCATGTGTAAAATCAATCATCTAATAATCTAGAACATTTTTTAGAAATACCGAGTCTTGTAAATTCGAGCATAAGAGTGATGAGAAGCACATAAATTTGAAGATTAAGCAAGAAAGTTCTTATTTATAAGTAGCATAGTGTGAGCCTCTTTGAAAGAGGAATAAGAACTTTCTTGCGAGATAGACAACCAAAACATACCTCAATACCTCATGGTGAGTGGAGGTGAAAAGTTTTATTAGAATAGAAAAGATAATCGAAACTTCGAAAGACTTCTCATACGTGAGAGGACTTTAAATGAACAGTTTCGTGTATACTTGTAAAAACTCTTTTTTGTCCAAATTCATTACATTGCTCACGGCTATCATTCTTCTAACAATTCGACAAATGTGTTATGTCATACTACCTCCGTCCCATAAATAACTCCTCTTTTGAATTGGCACACATATTAAGATAGTGGGAAATGTGTGGTGGAGAGTTGTGCAGAGGAGAGAGAAATGTGTAAGAATGATTATGAACCACAAATTCTTTGCCAAAAAAGGAAAGAGAAGATAAATTTGGGACGGACCAAAAAGGAAAGAATGAAGATAATTTTGGGACGGAGGGAGTATGAATTTGTGATATGTCACATGTGACGTAATTTCTCAGTAACATTATATCTTCTCACTTTCGTTTTTCATCTGTAACACTTATATCTTTTTATTTCTAAATTTTCTCATCATACCGTCAATAATTTTTAAAATGATACGGAATACATTATTACAACTACTCCCTCCGTCCCGCTAAGATTGCCCCATTTTACCTTTTCGGGAAGTCCCACTAAGATTGTCCCATACCAAATTTAGTAAAGATTGTGTGGCTCTAAGAGCCCGTTTGGTAGCACCAAAATCGGCTGTTTTGGCTGATTCTGCTGAAATTTATGATATTCTGGCTGGAGTGGCTGTTTTGGCTGATTCTGCTGATTTAAGAAAAAAATATTTTAAAAATATATTTTATTAATAAATTAAAGAAAAAATTATATGTAAAAATAGCTAAAATGGTCCTCTACAGCAACTTCAGCCAATACAGCCAGAAAAGTAACTACAACCTTACTTTTTCGGCTTATTACACAATTCAGCGCGCGAAAGTAAAAGTTACGGGTTTGGTGAAAAAGCTGACTGATAAGCCTGATAAGCCGAAAACAGAGTTCTCCAAACGGGCTCTAAATCATTCTTACTTTATTCTTACTTTATCAATTTAATATCAAACACACAAAACCACTTTTCTTAATACTCGTGCCACCTTCTTCCGTCTCAATCTTAGTGGGACGAAGGTAGTACTTTTTTATTTATTCAACATTCCAACACATTATTTTATTATCTTCCCATTATACGCTCAATAATTTATATTCTCTTTCACTATTATTAATGTAACCTACTTTCAAATGGGAAGATGTATATGTTCTGGAGGTAATATGTCATATGTCACATGTCATATGACATATGTCATGTTTAAGAGAATCTTCAATGCTACAATGTGCACAGTGCACATATGACATGAGAGAGATATAAAACATTGAATTAATAACATTTCTCTCTTCTTCTTTTCACAATCTTTTGTATTTTTAGTACATTTTTCGTAACAATGTTAATCACAATATCTATATCAAAACATTGTGTTTGACATTGTTGAGAGAATTTACCAAAAACAAATAATTCAAATAATGAGAGAAAATTATATTTATTGTCCTTCAGTTGACTATCTATATGCATCCTTTATGTTTTTGCATTAGATATATTCTAATACTTTCCATAATATTTAGTTAAACACTTAAACCACATTTGTAGTTGCTTAGTTGTTGGCAACAATGGCAAGTTGGCACATAATTTTGCCATTCAATTATTGTACAATAAAAAACATTTTTAGTCTCTTGGTTGTTGGGAATTTGGCATATACCGCGATCAGCCCCTAATTATTTGCCTTTCATTTATAGGGTGAGAATCCCCACTTCACAATAACTCGAAGACAAAAATTATACAGAAATGATTTCCTAGAAACGATTTCCTTGATATAACTGCTAACCACCGTTTTAAACATACTCTTCGCCTCTTCCATATCACCTACCTTACAAAACGATGGATTAAATGAGCTTCATCATCATTACCTCAGTGCCGCAAAGGTTCTCACACGGGTAAAGGGGTTGGATTTAAGCAGTCTTATTCCTAAATAAAGTAGGGTAGGTTATATCGGCATAAGAAAACCAATTCGGCATCAAATCCCAGGGCTTTATCTCATCATAGTACTTCTTGGGTAGTCCTTCTCCAATCTCAATCCACTTGTCGGCATTTCTAGGAAACATCCTCTTCAAATGTGCAATGATTTCATTGGCCTCCCTAACCTTTGAAATACTTACAAGCCCATCCACGAGCATCTTCATAGTCAAGAAATTAGGAACCCAAATCTTTTCCATACACTCATAAGTAATTTTAGCTGTGTCCTCCCTATCTCCCCCATCGGATATAAGGGAAAAGAGCCGATTCTTTGAATTGATATAACTGCTAACCATCTTTTCAAACACACTCTTCGCCGCTTCCATATCACCTTCCTCACAGACCACATGGATCAAATGGGAATAAGCATTCGGCTTCAAATCCGTGGACAAAATCTCATCAAACAATGCCTTTGCCTCCTCTGGCTTCTTGAACTTAAAATAAAAATCAATCATAGAGACATATAAATCAACAGTGCCCGGTGAAGCAAAATGTCGACTCATGATATCCCAAACTTTCCGAATATCCGTATCCTTCTCCTCCTTGAGAAAACCTACAAGACAATATCGAAAAGTTGTGCCTTTTGGCCAGAGTTTATTCTTAATCATCTCATCCAATATTGGATAAACTGAGCTAGTACAACCCGACTCGCTTAGCACCTTAATCATTGTATCATAAGTATCTAGGTTGGGGGCAATCCTGTATTTTTTTAGGGAATTCAAAAAAAACTCTTTTCATTTCTTCGAAATTCCTAGTTTCAAGGCAAGCAAACAGGAGAGAGTTGAGTGATTTCGCCGATCGTTTGATCCCCATCTCCTCCATTTTCTCAAAGGTCTTCATGGCGTCATCGAGCATGCCGGCTTCCCCATAGAGAAGGATAAAGTGGGAAATGTACTTTTCGGGTCTCAAATCGGGTCGGGACTGATATTCCTCAAGGATCTCACGGATTGCCCCAAAGTGATTGGAGTTGCGGAGGTTTAAGATCGCCGTGGAGTAGGCGAGTCGGTCCATTTGAGACCTAGGAGCTAGCGCGGCGGCTCGCCATACCTTGAGGATGCGTTCCGGGTTAGTCTCGATTCGGAGGAATCGGAGGAGCGCCGCTTTGGAAATGTTCCCAGTCGAGGTTGCAAAATGGCGGATATGAAGAGGATGATTGATAATAACAGATAGGAGCTTGCATCGTGCGATTGCTGCCATTGTCGTTGAAGAATTTCGATTTGAGAATTTTTAGGCTTCAAAGCAGAGACTAGCGGTTATAGCTGTGGTTCACGGGTTTTACGGGTTTTACGGTTAGGACTTGGAGCCCGTTTGGTAGCACGAAAATCGGCTGTTTTGGCTGATTCTGCTGAAATTTATGAAATTCTGGCTGAAGTGGCTGTTTTGGCTGATTGTGCTGATTCAAGAAAAAAATATTTTAGAAATATATTTTATCAATAAATTATAGAAAAAATTACATGTAAAAATAGCTAAAATAGTCCTCTACAGTAACTTCAGCCAATACAGCCAGAAAAGTAACTCCAACCTTACTTTTTCTGCTTATTACACAATTCAGCACACAAAAGTAAAAGTTACGTGTTTGGTGAAAAAGCTGGCTGATAAGCCTGATAAGCTGAAAAAAGAGGTCTCCAAACGGGCTCTTGGAGTTTTCTATATTTCTTAGTCTTATTTTACTCTTGTCACTTCTATGGTGTGAAACATATATAACTATAAAAGTGATCTAATTGGATTAATTAAATCGGATTAGAAAATTCAAAAATCCGATCTCAAACATACAGAGCATAAATGTTCATACATAATTTGTTACGTATATAATTATTATTATTATTATTATTATTATTATTATTATTATTATTATTATTATTATTATTATTATTATTATTATTATTATTATTATTATTATTATTATTATTATTATTATTATTATTATTATTATTATTATTATTACAGTATTATTAGTTTTATTGGTGTTGTTATCATTGTTATTTACTATTGTTGTTGTAATTATTATTTGTATGTTATTTTTTTTGGTCATGTATTTGTATGTTATTATAAATTTAAAACATAGTTCTCGTTATTAATATTAGAATAATCAGCTTGGTTTGATGAGTGGTTTGGTAGAATGATAGTACTAAAAGTGTGGCTAATTTAGTTAGAAATTTAGAATGTTTTTAATCGAACTAAAATTTTGTTGATCTTGTCTTATCTGGTCTATCTAAATCTGATCTTATGAATGTATGCTTCCTGCGTAAAAATTTGGTCTGATTTGACATGGTTTGTTCTATTTAAGTCTAGTTTAATCTAGGTTGGGAAACAGTCCACATAAAAAATATCCTTAATGTTTAATCAGTTATCTTAAATGAATAACCTCAATAGAGATGTTTTTGCCGGGTTTTCTAATATAAAATATTGCCTCCCACCCAATATATTTGTTGTTTTAGCCATTTTTTTTAAATATATGAATTCAATTCCTAAAACGAAAAAATAATTTGTGAGAAGAAAAAGAAAAATTATATATATATATATATATATATATGACTAAAATAAGCGTAACTTACAAGAAATGTGATTATTGACTAGAGTAGTAACTTAGTCATATTAACTTATGTTCATCTTTTATACTTCAGTGACTATAATACTATATTGTAGTAACTATTAGTCACTTTTTGTAAGTAAGTTTCATTTTAGTAAGAGAAAGTTGTTGATTTAGTCCTGTAACTTATAGGTATACCTGATATTGGTCCTGTAACTTTATTAACTTGCAAATTACATCCCGTAACTAATAAGTTGGTGCAATTTTGGTCCTTCTCTACCGAAACTTACCAATTTCGCCGGAAAAGACACATCATCTGCCACATGGTATATTATTTGGAACTCACTTGCTAACTCAATGTTGGCCCTTAGCTAGAGTTAAAAAATTATTTCTTCTTGATTGCAGCAGGAGCATTTTGAATGAAGTTTAAAGCTTTTTGGATTCATGTTTTAAGAATAAAGCATTTGAAATGTTACATCATCTTCACTTCTCACATCTTTAACATGAGAAAGACCAGGAGCAAAAACACTAGCCCCACAACAACTATGAGGAGCCTTTTATTTTTAGCCTTCAACTTCACAACCTCTTCCTCTTTTGAATTGAGTCTTCTAACCAATCCCAGAATTATCATCGTTCAACAATGGCACATAGGTGGGTCCGCCCATTCAAAAAATCTGCAACCTTCTGTCTGTATCAAAACAAGATGAAGCTTAACTTACTTTTTACTACTTTGAACACAAAAATACATTATCAAATGCCCCCAACAAATAGAAGATGATAATTTTATTAGCAAAACCTAGCTTAAAATATAAAATACATTTTAATTTTCAAACAAATTTATTATTCAAATGCTATTCTTAAATTTCTAGTTTATTTAGTAAAAAAGAAGCAAACAATGTAAATTAAAAAGCTGAACTTCTTACTCTGCTTCTAGCGCACACACGAAACCTCCTTCCAGGATCGTTATCAGTCCAAGAAGTTAGAAGAGAAACCTTTTTACCACAATCACACTCCATAAACTTTTGTCTGATCGAGAGTCGTTACTAGCAGATTTGAAGAATAACTCACTCTCTCGACTTAGTTCACGAGAAATCTTCCGGTAGAGTTATGTGTTCTTCCCCCCTTTTGCAGATCCGATAATAGGCTTGGTATGGTTGTGCACGCACTTAGCGAAGAGCTTTCGTACTCTGGTTTTTTTAACTCCAACTAAGGGCCAATATTGAGTCAGCAAATGAGTTCCAAATAATATACCATGTGGCAGGTGATGTGTCTTTTTCTGACGAAATTGATAAGTTCTGGCAGAGAAGGACCAAAATTGCACCAACTTATTAGTTACGGGATGTAAATTGCAAGTTAATAAAGTTACAGGACCAATATCAGATATAGCTATAAGTTATGGGACTGAATCAACAAATTTCCCGGAATTGAATTCATATTTTTTCGTATTTTCTCAGTGATTCTTCTCATATTAAATGTCATTCAAAGAAAAGGGATAAAATGTCATTTTGTAAAATGCCTTAATAATTGCGCATTTTTCTAAAACAACCATCAAATTGCGACAGACAGAAATAATGGGGCAAAATATATTATACACCCGGCTGTACCGTGTCACTTGGTACAACCAGGTATTTTTGTAATTATTTTTGCTTCCTCTGTTTCTCCTCCGTTCTTGCTTTTCCGATTTTTTTTATTGCTTTTCCTTATATTTTAACTTTATAGTTTTTACTCCTTTCTTCCTCTTCCGTTACTTTACTGCTCTTCCGTTTTTTAGTTTTGTTTTTCCGTTCTTTTAGTTTTGCTTCTCGTTTTTCCTTTCTTTTTTATAGTTCTGGTTTTCCTTTTTCTTCTTTTAGTTTGGAACTTTAATTCTCCTGTGTTTCAATTTTCTTTTTCTGCTTCGTTTTTTTTGTCTCTAAATTTGAACTTTAATTTTTCCAACTTTAAATTTTCTTTTCCTTTTCTATACTTCATTTTTTCTTTTTTCTTTTTATATATACTTTTTGTCTTCTCGATCACTAATTTTGAACTCCTACTTTTTTGTTTTTATGTAATTTTGCTACAATAACTTTTTGTCTTTTTCATGCAATTCTTTAAAAAATTCATATCAAATGCGATACAATAAAAACATATACACCTATTCTTTATGTTATACTGATATGAGCATGCATAAATTGATATTTGAGCATACTAGAGATTTTAAATGAGATTTTTAATTTTTTTCGATGCTCATTTCGTAAGTTATCTATGCTCATTTGAAATTGGCGTAATGCTCACTTTAAAATGAGTATTACACCATTTGAAAATGTCATATCCATGCATATAGGTGTAATGCTCATTTTAAATATTTCGATGTTCATTTCATAAGTTATGTATTCTCATTTGATGAATTTGTACTCATACTATGCTCATTTTTAAAATGTTATATTCATGCAAATTTTAAAAGTTTTTTTTTTTTTTTTTTTTTGCTCCGGAAGGCAAACCACCAAAATCAGTGGGGTAAATGCCGGAGTATCATTTACCAAGTTTTATTAAATCAGATTGAGATACAGACAAATGCAGACTTGGGGGGACCAGACCTTACCCAAATAAATTACATGAAATAAAAATCAAATGCGAAAATAAGGAAAACCAAATAGATCCGCATAATAGTCTGGGCCGAACAGATATCATGGGTAGCGAGGTGGTGGGCTGGCCCATTACCTTCTCTGAAAATATGCCCAAAACACAACCCCGCTTCTATCGCTTTCCTTCGAAACGCCTGAAGATAGGCATACTTTCCTGAATCGGTCGTTTGGAGCATGGAGATGATATTAGCCGCATCAACTTCAACCTGGAAGCCGAACCACCCCATCTGAAGAGCCATATCAGTAGCATAGATCAAAGCTTGCAACTCAGCTTCCTCGCTCGATTGCGCCTGAAGTTTGAAACACGAAGCCCACTCCATCTTACCTTCTCGGTTTCTGAAGATGGCTCCTCCCATGGCGAAACCAGGTACATACGAAGCATCCACATTCAATTTGTAGTTGTTTTTAGGTCTGCTCCACCTAATCAATTTCGATCCTGAATCCCTGAACTTAAAATTGACTGGAATGAAATGTTCTAGGTAAAGGAAGTTGTCAATTGTTCTGGGTTTAATCTTTTGCAGTCTATAAACCCATTTTTGAGAATACATCTTAATTTGGATAATTAGATGTTCAGGAGTAGGAATGCTGCTGGAACCCCAAATATAAGATGAATACACTTTCCAAATATGCCAACTAATTATACCTGGGAGAATATGTTTAAAGATATCCACCAAGGTTTTTGAACCAGCTTCTAACCACCAAAGAACAAGAACCTGTCTGATAGAGCTGTGAGTTGGAACAGGAATATTAAACACATTCATAAAATACTGCCACACCTTCCTTGTGTAATGACAACCATAGAAAATATGGTTAGTGCTATCACTATGATTCTGACACAGAGGACATCTTGAAGGATTAACAACAATTTGAAACCGATAAAGATTATCTGTCACAGGAAGGAACCTGTTAATCAGTTTCCATAGCAATACTCTAATCTGCAATTGTTGGTATTTATTCCAAATATGCCTTGATGTGAAGGTGGTTGATTGTTTATCCCTTACTTCATTGTAGGCAGAATATAAGGAAAAATTTCTAGAGCTGTCAGGAGACCAAACTAAGGAACCATCAGAGCTGATGTTGCAAAGGTTAGTAGCTTCTTCATTGATATGACAAAGTCGTCTCCAAATTGCTGAGTCAGTCACCTTAGGAACCATGTTTTGCCCCCTTGGATATTTAGCCCTAATAAAATCACACCAAAGAGAGCTCTGATTTTTCCATTTCCACCAAAGTTTTTAAGAGAAGGCTTTCTCAATATCAGTCATAGATCTAATTCCCAGACCTCCTTCTTCAGTGGGAAAGCAGACCTTTGACCATTTTACCCAATGAACTCTTTGCCTATTATCAGAAGAACCCCAGAAGAATGAAGCCATCTTCTTTTCTAAGGTTGAGATGATTCTTTTGGGCAATCTGTCTGTAGCCATAATATGACTGTGTAACACCGGACCCGAATTTTACCCAGATAATTTTTTTTCGTAAAGTACTTGGTTAAAGAAGGTAAATCAAGACTAAGAGTAGTCTCGATAAATGAGAAAGTAAAATTTTGTCCTAAATTAATAAAGGGTTATTAATTTAGACGTGGGACCACACGTGGTATTTCAAGTTTATAAAATATTATTGTTTTCCAAAATGATACTATTATGATAGTAGGGATGGGTCATGGACCCCAGTGATATAAGGAATGACAACTAGATGGCCAAGCGGGCCGGGGTCACTATCCGATAATTGTGAATCATTAATTATCGGACTGATAATAATTCGGAAGGCTACGAATTAATAAGAAGGAATATAAATATTTTAAGAACCCAAAACATGGGATGGTGGATAATAATGAGCAACTTGACATGTTAGAGGTGGGTACTTTTGGAGGACCCTACCTTGAAGATATTTTTTGTATAAGAATAAACAGATAAGATTTTATCTGCTTATACAGTTGGGACCACTTAAAAATAAGGGTGACATTTTATTAAAGTGTCACAAAATATGAAAACACATATTTAGTCATTAGGAATGATGAATGAATTTTTAAAGTAACTTATTCTCATTTTTACCGCTACTTGAACGGTAAAAGGCACGTTGGGCCCACACATGGGCGGGGACCATCCGATATTTACGGACCACATATTATATTCATCTTGGTCTAGATAATATTTATATGAGGTTGTAAATAAATGTTGAGCCATAAAGTTGGTCTTTCGAACAAACGAGGTCCCATTACCAGTATAGGTAATTAATCAGATAACAGCCCGAAATAAATTCTGGGGACCACTAAATTAAAGTTGGGTAATATATAATCATTTTAGAAGCCAATATTAATTGGAAGAATGATATATATTTTATTTGACCCGATTAAATAAAATATAATTAAAACAGTCCAGAAAATACAACTTTCGGGACCGAATGTACACTTTGGGACATAAAGGGATGACCTCCCACATGGGTGGGGGCCACCCTACGAAATTATTCAGCAAAGTAGACAAAAGGATGGCTGTACAATGGTAGGAAGGAGATGAGAAGTTGACTTGAAGTGATAAGCATGAATGAGAGACATATGTGGACCCTTTTCCTTTATTATTATTGGTGGTATGAGCCAAAATGCATCAATCTCTCTTCCCCCCAATCACCCACTCGGCCAGCACCATCAAGAGGAGAAGAACATCTGCAAACACACCTCCATAGCCAAGAAAAAACCGAGCTCAAGGTTGAAGAAGACTCAAGGAAGAAGAAAGGATTGGGAAAGAAAAGAAAAACTTAGAAAAATTAAGGTAATGACTTCATTAGTATTTTTCTTCCTTCATTTAATCTCATATGATTTTATAAATCATATGATACACTTCTAGAGGTGTTGAATGAGGGTTTGGAAGGTTAAGTTTAACCATGAACGGAGTTATGGCCGGAGTAAGACCGGTTCACCGGGAAACACCTTCTCGGAAGGTTTTGACATTTATACTACTTTTGGTTGTGAAAACTTGTTAGGAATTTTACCAAGGTATTCTAGACTTCTCGAGGAATCTAGGAGTGGCCGGGAAGTCGCCGGAGCCGCCGGAGTTTCGCCGGAAAATTCCAAAAGTCACCGGAGATCAAACAAAGAGGATAAAAGCTTGCTAGCGTCATTTCGAGGTGAGTGGACGACTACGTGTCTTGTAACTCTTGGTTCAAACGTGGGATTACCTAAATAAAATCATAACCATGATTTGAGAAATGATGAAATGGATTAAAATGCATGATTAGTCATGGTGTATATGACTAATGAAAAAAATAGATTAATTTATTAATTAATCATTAGTACGTAGTATATATTTCTTAATGCATAAGAGGATATACTTGAACCATGTATGAGATAAGTTCGAATAATCAAGTAAGTGAATATAAAAGGGTTGTAAAGTTGTGATTATCCATATTAAATATGGATTATGGAAGTATTATATGATAAATAAAAAAATAGATTAATTTATTAATTAATCATGAGTATATTTTTCTTAAATGAATAAGAAGGTATACTTGAACCGTGTATGTGATTGACTAGAGTTATCTAGTAAAGAAATATAAAAAGATATGTGATATGTGATTAGTCATATTAATTATGGATTATGGAAATATGGCATAATTAATGATTAATCAATTAATGGTATGAATAAAAGGTTGTAAGAAAGGATCATGAGCCATGATTTGGGCTTGGGCATGAGATTACTCAAATAAAACAGAATGATATTCCATGAAATATTAAATACATCTAAGAATGTATTAAGGAAAGATTTACTTATTAATAGTATTAATAAGTGTATTTAATATGCTTTAATTTGGACAGAAAAATGATTATAAATTATGTGTGATGATTTGGACGTCCAAAATAATATTTTTGGACTAGGAATGACTTGTTGCATAAGTGTATAAAATTTCGTGAAAATCGGACCCCGTTTGGATGGTCAAACGGGCGTTGACCAAAATGTTGACCGGTTGCCCAAGGGATAACCGGCGCCGGTTATAGGCAAAACCGGCGCCGGTTATGGTTCGGTTTACTACAAAAAAATCAGTAAACCGGCGCCGGTTATGGGTAAAACCGGCGCCGGTTATGTCTCGGCTTTCAGGACTGATTTTTGCTAAAAACCCAAATCGGACCCGGTTCGACGTGGGATTAATTCTGGTCATCCTATATATGAATATTTTGCATGGAATTGCATGAAATATGATGTTTAAAATGATAAGGCTTGGAATACGGTTTAAATGCTAAGACTTGGACTAGTCGTTAGTAAAGAAATTATAGACCACGACCGGGCGAGGCACGTGGTAGATTATAAATGGCGGGTGAATACCCGGGACCAAGTAAGGTTATATAATACTCTGTAGGACCAGGAGGAGTCCTCTACACTCAAACGTTAACAAGGGCAAATGCAGTCCTTGAGGTGTGTTTAACCTCCATCAAATTGCATATAGGTAACAAGGGCAAATGCAGTCCTTGAGGTGTGTTCAACCTCCATCAAATTGCATATAGGTAACAAGGGCAAATGCAGTCCTTGAGGTGTGTTCAACCTCCATCAAATTGCATATAGGTAACAAGGGCAAATGCAGTCCTTGAGGTGTGTTTAACCTCCATCAAATTGCATATAGGTAACAAGGGCAAGTGCAGTCCTTGAGGTGTGTTTAACCTCCATCAAATTGCATATAGTTAACAAGGGCAAATGCAGTCCTTGAGGTGTGTTAACCTCCATCAAAGTGCATATAGGTAACAAGGGCCTGTGTAGTCCTTGAGGTGTGTTAACCTCCAGTAAATTACACATAGGATGAGGGTGTATGCGTACTCCTTGAGGCGGGGTTAACCCGGAAATGAAAACTATGATAGCAAGGACGGATAGTCCTCGAGGTAGGTGAACCTCGAAGTAATGATTTTAAATGATTAAACGTGCTTGATCGGGAACGAGTTCCCGATATAATATTTTCCTTGGTCTAGGGATTGATTTAAACCATGTCTGTGATATGGGAGTCCGAAGGGCCCCACAGTAATTATATTTTAGTATCGAGTGAGTTAGCCCGCGGGTGACTCCACTCGAGGGTAAGGCATGGGAAGGATGAATTTAATGAGGCTGTTACGCCTAAATGATTTGAAAGACAAAGGGCCCACGGGCCAGATATTTTACTCATATGTATATATGTATACATTTTGTTTTGAAAAGGGGTAGCTAAGAGTTATGCCCATAATTATACTATCACCCTATTTTGAGGGTCTCACGTGAGAAACGTTAGTTACATTACATACAGTTTGCCCTCACCAGTACTTTTCTGTAGTACTGATCCCTCGGGGGAACCACCCTTTCAGGTTGAAGCTAGAGCTTACTTCCTGCACCCGTTGCTCGGGAGATCAATGGAGAGAAGACGTGGTTCGTGCTTCCTCTCGTTCTATTTTTAAATAATTAAATAATGCTCATGGAACTATTTTGACTTATAAATTAATAGAGCCTGCGAGCTCTTGTTTTACCCTTGTGTGGGTTCTTATTAAACACTTATATTCCGCTATGTGTTTAATTGTATGTTGATGTTGTTATGTATGTTTACTAATCGGTTTTGGCATATGTATCTATCGGACGTCTTGTGCAATTCGGTAAGGATGGACTGTGGTTATTCTTATTGGGTTGTACGACGGTTGTCCACGTGGCACAGACGCGGTCTGGGGCGTGACAATTAAGTGGTATCAGAGCCAAACGATTTCTAAACTATATAGTCAACCTCTCAACAGAGTTTCTATCAAAACAGTTTTCAATGAAAAACCATGAGCATAAGTTACGTTTTGTACTTTAAGAGCATTTGGTTATCGAGTTGCAAGGTCTCTGGTTGTTAAGATGGGCCCCTTAACAATTGGTATGGCAGAGACTTGAGCCAAGTTGTGTCTTGAGTACGTTTCTGTCAATTGACATTCAAACGAGTCTAAAGACTCATTCCAACATATTCTTTCAGGAATGGGTGGTAGTGATAGGGCGGTTCGAGGAAATCCGAGAGGGCGCGCACCGGGGATAGCCGGGCAAGCCAATCGGGGGATATCAAGGTCGCGTAAAAGGCGAGGTATGGGCAATCAAGGCCCACGAACACGAGCCACGATGGCTGATCACAACGTGACTGAGTTCGAGTCGTGGAACTCGGATGATGACTCAACTTATCACCCTGAAAGCGAGTCAGATGAAACTTCTTTTCAGGAAAACAGTGGAGAGGATATACAATGTATTCCTCCCGAACATGTTAGCGAGATGTACCGATGGTACCAACGTGAAAGGGGAAGACAACGACAGGGATCTCAGGAGGGACATGTCAGAGGCGAGACCTCTCTCATGAGGGGTCAGGGTGCTCATAGAGCACAGGTTAGGACAGTCAGAGATTCTGATGGCGAAGGACCATTCTTTAAGATCTCGAAGTACCTCAAAGAGGCTAGAGCCTTGGGGTGCAAGCCATTTGATGGAACGGGGGACATATCGGAAGCAGCCGAGTGGATAAAAAGGTTAAATGATGCAGCTGATGACATGCAAGTGGTCCCTGAACGAAAGTTAAGGGTAGCTACTAGATTATTGGAGGGTTTAGCTTCTACTTGGTGGGAAGGCACCAAGGGTAAGTTTGACGGGGTTGTCACGTGGGACAACTTCGAGCAAGCATTCTATGAGCAGTTTTACACCTCTTTCGAAGTAAATCGAAAGAGGAGGGAATATATCGATCTCAAACAGGGAAATGAGTTTACGGTGAAGCAACTGGAACAAAGATTCCGACATCTGGCAAGGTTTTTGCCTGAGTATGCCGCAAATGAGAACCGAATGGCAAACCATTTTTGGAATGCACTCAATTTGGAAATACGCGAAAGAGCGACCTACCAATTCAACATGACTTTTAGTGAAGTAGTAGCCCAGGGTCTCCAGGGGGAGGAGCTTTGGAAGGAAAGGCAAGCAAGGGATGCAAAGGAAGCACAAGAAAGAGATCAGGCGATCGTTCACCCTCCACGACGAGAGGGGAAGTATGAACTTCAGAGCAAGGGGAACTCTAACAAGTCAGTTCCGTTTTTCAGTGAGAGCCAGGACTTGGTAAATCAAAGCTCAAGCACTCGAGGCACGGGGGCACCCAAATGCGAGAATTGTAGGCGAAGGCACTACGGTAGATGTCGAGAGCCATCTAGATGCTACTTTTGTGGAGAAACAGGCCACATCAAGGTCCTTTGTCCTCAACGTACGCGTGAAGGAACATCAGGAGCTAGAGGAGGGGTCACGGGGGTTGAAAACCCAACTAGGGTTGCCTCAAACATGGTACCTTCTACAAGTCAATGGCGAACTCGCTCGTGAAGGCCGGCAATGGCGGAAGCCATTTGTTAGGCCCGACTATGGCACAAGGTATTATTAAATTAAACCTTAATTTCCATAAATATTTTTATTTTCAAAATTGTTAGCTTCAGATAATGAAGGGAGAAATGTTTCTCAAGGTTCAGACGTTAATTTCGGGGACGAAATTCCTGTAAGGTGGGGTGAACTTGTAACACCGGACCCGAATTTTACCCAGATAATTTTTTTTCGTAAAGTACTTGGTTAAAGAAGGTAAATCAAGACTAAGAGTAGTCTCGATAAATGAGAAAGTAAAATTTTGTCCTAAATTAATAAAGGGTTATTAATTTAGACGTGGGACCACACGTGGTATTTCAAGTTTATAAAATATTATTGTTTTCCAAAATGATACTATTATGATAGTAGGGATGGGTCATGGACCCCAGTGATATAAGGAATGACAACTAGATGGCCAAGCGGGCCGGGGTCACTATCCGATAATTGTGAATCATTAATTATCGGACTGATAATAATTCGGAAGGCTACGAATTAATAAGAAGGAATATAAATATTTTAAGAACCCAAAACATGGGATGGTGGATAATAATGAGCAACTTGACATGTTAGAGGTGGGTACTTTTGGAGGACCCTACCTTGAAGATATTTTTTGTATAAGAATAAACAGATAAGATTTTATCTGCTTATACAGTTGGGACCACTTAAAAATAAGGGTGACATTTTATTAAAGTGTCACAAAATATGAAAACACATATTTAGTCATTAGGAATGATGAATGAATTTTTAAAGTAACTTATTCTCATTTTTACCGCTACTTGAACGGTAAAAGGCACGTTGGGCCCACACATGGGCGGGGACCATCCGATATTTACGGACCACATATTATATTCATCTTGGTCTAGATAATATTTATATGAGGTTGTAAATAAATGTTGAGCCATAAAGTTGGTCTTTCGAACAAACGAGGTCCCATTACCAGTATAGGTAATTAATCAGATAACAGCCCGAAATAAATTCTGGGGACCACTAAATTAAAGTTGGGTAATATATAATCATTTTAGAAGCCAATATTAATTGGAAGAATGATATATATTTTATTTGACCCGATTAAATAAAATATAATTAAAACAGTCCAGAAAATACAACTTTCGGGACCGAATGTACACTTTGGGACATAAAGGGATGACCTCCCACATGGGTGGGGGCCACCCTACGAAATTATTCAGCAAAGTAGACAAAAGGATGGCTGTACAATGGTAGGAAGGAGATGAGAAGTTGACTTGAAGTGATAAGCATGAATGAGAGACATATGTGGACCCTTTTCCTTTATTATTATTGGTGGTATGAGCCAAAATGCATCAATCTCTCTTCCCCCCAATCACCCACTCGGCCAGCACCATCAAGAGGAGAAGAACATCTGCAAACACACCTCCATAGCCAAGAAAAAACCGAGCTCAAGGTTGAAGAAGACTCAAGGAAGAAGAAAGGATTGGGAAAGAAAAGAAAAACTTAGAAAAATTAAGGTAATGACTTCATTAGTATTTTTCTTCCTTCATTTAATCTCATATGATTTTATAAATCATATGATACACTTCTAGAGGTGTTGAATGAGGGTTTGGAAGGTTAAGTTTAACCATGAACGGAGTTATGGCCGGAGTAAGACCGGTTCACCGGGAAACACCTTCTCGGAAGGTTTTGACATTTATACTACTTTTGGTTGTGAAAACTTGTTAGGAATTTTACCAAGGTATTCTAGACTTCTCGAGGAATCTAGGAGTGGCCGGGAAGTCGCCGGAGCCGCCGGAGTTTCGCCGGAAAATTCCAAAAGTCACCGGAGATCAAACAAAGAGGATAAAAGCTTGCTAGCGTCATTTCGAGGTGAGTGGACGACTACGTGTCTTGTAACTCTTGGTTCAAACGTGGGATTACCTAAATAAAATCATAACCATGATTTGAGAAATGATGAAATGGATTAAAATGCATGATTAGTCATGGTGTATATGACTAATGAAAAAAATAGATTAATTTATTAATTAATCATTAGTACGTAGTATATATTTCTTAATGCATAAGAGGATATACTTGAACCATGTATGAGATAAGTTCGAATAATCAAGTAAGTGAATATAAAAGGGTTGTAAAGTTGTGATTATCCATATTAAATATGGATTATGGAAGTATTATATGATAAATAAAAAAATAGATTAATTTATTAATTAATCATGAGTATATTTTTCTTAAATGAATAAGAAGGTATACTTGAACCGTGTATGTGATTGACTAGAGTTATCTAGTAAAGAAATATAAAAAGATATGTGATATGTGATTAGTCATATTAATTATGGATTATGGAAATATGGCATAATTAATGATTAATCAATTAATGGTATGAATAAAAGGTTGTAAGAAAGGATCATGAGCCATGATTTGGGCTTGGGCATGAGATTACTCAAATAAAACAGAATGATATTCCATGAAATATTAAATACATCTAAGAATGTATTAAGGAAAGATTTACTTATTAATAGTATTAATAAGTGTATTTAATATGCTTTAATTTGGACAGAAAAATGATTATAAATTATGTGTGATGATTTGGACGTCCAAAATAATATTTTTGGACTAGGAATGACTTGTTGCATAAGTGTATAAAATTTCGTGAAAATCGGACCCCGTTTGGATGGTCAAACGGGCGTTGACCAAAATGTTGACCGGTTGCCCAAGGGATAACCGGCGCCGGTTATAGGCAAAACCGGCGCCGGTTATGGTTCGGTTTACTACAAAAAAATCAGTAAACCGGCGCCGGTTATGGGTAAAACCGGCGCCGGTTATGTCTCGGCTTTCAGGACTGATTTTTGCTAAAAACCCAAATCGGACCCGGTTCGACGTGGGATTAATTCTGGTCATCCTATATATGAATATTTTGCATGGAATTGCATGAAATATGATGTTTAAAATGATAAGGCTTGGAATACGGTTTAAATGCTAAGACTTGGACTAGTCGTTAGTAAAGAAATTATAGACCACGACCGGGCGAGGCACGTGGTAGATTATAAATGGCGGGTGAATACCCGGGACCAAGTAAGGTTATATAATACTCTGTAGGACCAGGAGGAGTCCTCTACACTCAAACGTTAACAAGGGCAAATGCAGTCCTTGAGGTGTGTTTAACCTCCATCAAATTGCATATAGGTAACAAGGGCAAATGCAGTCCTTGAGGTGTGTTCAACCTCCATCAAATTGCATATAGGTAACAAGGGCAAATGCAGTCCTTGAGGTGTGTTCAACCTCCATCAAATTGCATATAGGTAACAAGGGCAAATGCAGTCCTTGAGGTGTGTTTAACCTCCATCAAATTGCATATAGGTAACAAGGGCAAGTGCAGTCCTTGAGGTGTGTTTAACCTCCATCAAATTGCATATAGTTAACAAGGGCAAATGCAGTCCTTGAGGTGTGTTAACCTCCATCAAAGTGCATATAGGTAACAAGGGCCTGTGTAGTCCTTGAGGTGTGTTAACCTCCAGTAAATTACACATAGGATGAGGGTGTATGCGTACTCCTTGAGGCGGGGTTAACCCGGAAATGAAAACTATGATAGCAAGGACGGATAGTCCTCGAGGTAGGTGAACCTCGAAGTAATGATTTTAAATGATTAAACGTGCTTGATCGGGAACGAGTTCCCGATATAATATTTTCCTTGGTCTAGGGATTGATTTAAACCATGTCTGTGATATGGGAGTCCGAAGGGCCCCACAGTAATTATATTTTAGTATCGAGTGAGTTAGCCCGCGGGTGACTCCACTCGAGGGTAAGGCATGGGAAGGATGAATTTAATGAGGCTGTTACGCCTAAATGATTTGAAAGACAAAGGGCCCACGGGCCAGATATTTTACTCATATGTATATATGTATACATTTTGTTTTGAAAAGGGGTAGCTAAGAGTTATGCCCATAATTATACTATCACCCTATTTTGAGGGTCTCACGTGAGAAACGTTAGTTACATTACATACAGTTTGCCCTCACCAGTACTTTTCTGTAGTACTGATCCCTCGGGGGAACCACCCTTTCAGGTTGAAGCTAGAGCTTACTTCCTGCACCCGTTGCTCGGGAGATCAATGGAGAGAAGACGTGGTTCGTGCTTCCTCTCGTTCTATTTTTAAATAATTAAATAATGCTCATGGAACTATTTTGACTTATAAATTAATAGAGCCTGCGAGCTCTTGTTTTACCCTTGTGTGGGTTCTTATTAAACACTTATATTCCGCTATGTGTTTAATTGTATGTTGATGTTGTTATGTATGTTTACTAATCGGTTTTGGCATATGTATCTATCGGACGTCTTGTGCAATTCGGTAAGGATGGACTGTGGTTATTCTTATTGGGTTGTACGACGGTTGTCCACGTGGCACAGACGCGGTCTGGGGCGTGACAGACTGGGTATTGAACTAAGCACATGTTTGATAGGATCAATCTTCCACCTTGACTTAGATTTTTCTGCTTCCAGGATGATAGCTTTGAATCAAAGTGATTTATGAGATTTGTGCAGTAGTGGAATTTATTTAATCCTTTATGCAGATTGGCTCCTAAGTACTTCATTGGAAGGTGTGATTTCTTCATACCCAATATCTTCTGTATCACAGAGGCTCTGTAGGTGGCCTGTTTGCCAGTTATGAAGCTGCTTTTATCAAGACATTGTTAAGTTCTTAATACTCAATTAAATAAGTCTGATGCTCATTAAAAGTGTTTTAATGCTCATAATAGGTCCAATGCACATTAAAAGTTCATAAATGCTCATTTAACAGAAATTGTAATTTCATCTCAATAGAGGAGATTTGATGCTCAATGAAAATGGTGTTATGTCAAACTAACAAATCTTACGATTTTCATATCAATGAACATTTGTAAGTTACGTATGCTCATTTAGTATTGATCTTATGCTCATTTTCTAAATGTTATCAATGTATTTTTATAAAGTACTATTATGTTTTTGTAAAAGAAATAATAATAAAAAGAAAGTGAAGTTATGAATTAGAACTTATGAAACATAGATCATGATTCTGAATATTAGACTTCTAATACTCAACATAATAGGTTTGATGTTCATTAAAAGTTCACTCATGCTCATTCACCAGAAACCGTGATTTTCATCTCAATAACGGATGTTTGATGCTCAATTAAAATGTCGTGATGTTCAACTAACAAACCTTACAATATTCATATCAATGTGTGCTTTGTAAGTTATGTATGCTCATTTTGTACTAATGTTATGCTCATTTGTAACAAAAAATAAGAAAAAATAAGTTAGATTTTTTATAACAAAAAATAAGAAAAACAAAGTGAATTGGAAAATATAAAGCAACGATCACGATGTTCAATATTAACCTCATAATACTCAACATAATAAGTCTGATGCTCATATCAAATTACCAATACCAGATGAGCATACGTAACTTACAAAATGAGCATCCAAAAATTCAACAACTCATTTGAATTCTCTAATGTTTTCAAATTTTCATTTGTGTATGTTCCTTTCTTTTAATCATTATATATATTATTCATTTCTATAATATGTACATGTAGTAGATATAAGTTAGATTTTTTATAATAAAAAAAAATAAGGAAAACAAAGTCAATTAGAAAATATAAAGCAACAATCACGATGCTCAATATTAACCTCATAAGACTCAACATAATAAGTCTTATGCTCATACCAAATTACCAATACCAGATGAGCATAAATAACTTACAAAATGAGCATCAAAAAATTCAACAGCTCATTTGAATTCTCTAATGTGTTCAAATATTCATTTGTGTATGTTCCTTTCTTTTAATCGTTATATTATTCCTTTCTATATTTACTCATGCAAATTTATTTTATATTATACTTATTTCAGAATATAACAAAACTCATAATAGTAATTAGATCACAATAATTGAGAAATTAATAAATATTCATCTTAAGATTTAAAAAAGAAAAATAAAAACTAATAACTAAAATATTTTATAATGCACAAATTAAAAAAAGTAAGTTATATTAGAAGGTTGATTGGAAAAAGTAAAAGTTGTTAAAACAAAAAAAAAGAAGAAAAAAAGAAGCAGGAAAGCAATGAAAAGTAATTGCAAGAGAAAGAAAGAAGCAACAAAGCAAATGCTGTTAATGAAAAAAATGAAAAAGACTGAAGCAGAAAGCAAGGGAACGGATGAATAAGAGAAAGAGTGAAAAAGAAACTGGCAAACAAATGAAAAAAGAAGCAGGAAGGATCGTCAATGCAGCACAAAAGCGGAAAAGAAGAAATTTAATAGGAAGACCAATGAATTAAAAGGGCCGAAGTTGATGGGAATTTTAAATATACGGACTCAAATAATGGAACAACGGCGGCGGAACAGTCATTTTCAGTTTGATTCATTTCAACAAAACAATGGAATGTCAAGTATGTATTATTTTTTCTAATGATCGGCCGATGATCGCCTTACTTCAGAACTGAAATGCTAATTCACATGAATCTTTTGCTTATGATGAACAGGCCAAACAGTGATATACTTCCTCCGTTCTCTTTTCATTGCAACAGTCAACATTTCACGTTTGCCAACGCACAAGTTTGACCATTAATATCTTTCATTCCTTATTATTAAAAAAATTACAAAATTCATATTTTGAAAATTTAGAATGAGAAGAATTTAACAATATTTTTTAAAAATTTCATTTATAATACATTAATTAATAAAATGTAGTCAAAATAGAATATGTGAATAGTGTAAAAAGTCCAATGTTGCAATTAAAAGAGAACGGAGGTAGTATATGGCGGGAAAAGGAACAGATAGACTCTCGAACTTACAAAAAAAAGGTCAAATAAGCTCTTAAATTGGAGGTTCTTTCCAGCCGTCGCCATTTGAGGCGGTTCCCGGTGGAATTTTTTGATGAAATTTTTTGAACATCTTATTCATTAAGTCTAGTTTAATCATACCAAATTTCAGCTAAAACTTCAAACGGAAAGGCATTCAAATGAATTCTTGAAGATAAGTGTGCAGTTTTTGTGGAGATGATCGGGCTCGATCTACCAAAGAGATTTACCCAGTTTTTGTATTTTTTGTTTTTATATTCATTCAACATTACATGTACGATTGGGGAGTCCCACTAGACATATTTGAGCTTGGAATAATACATATTTGAGTCTACAGATTAGTCATGGACCGGGCCCAGCGTGACAAGGCCTTTTTTATTGAGCTTGAAGCCCAGCACCGGCCCGGGTGTTGAACGGTTCTGGTTCGGGCCGGGCCACCCGCCTGAGTACAGGGGCGGGGCGGTTCCGGTTCCGGATCAATTTTTTTTGTTTTTGTTTTCTTGTTTCCTAATTAATTCTAAAAGTGATACATATAAAAAACTTCAAATATATTTATTTGAAATATGCACTACAGTTGAGAATTGAGAAAAAAATAAAATATGAAATAAATTTTCTAATAAATAATACGTAATATATAATAATCAATCGGAATCTCCACCACTGTCGGTTGTTGTTTCCTCCATAATGTGTTGGGTGGGGGTGATGCTAAGTTCTTGAGTTGCTACCAATTAGGGTTGGACTCGGGCCGGTTCGGGCCCGGTTCGGGCCTCGGGCCAGGAAAGGGGAGGCCCGAGCCCGAACCGCCGGTGGCCGGTTCCGGTTCCGGTTCCGGGCCAAACCGGGCCGGGCCGAACCGGCTCAATTAATTTTTTTTTGTTCTCCTATTTAATCCCCTACCCCTCCCCCTCAACCCCAAACCATCCCAAACCACTTCAAATGGCCCAAAATACCTAATCCAACCTAAAACTTAAAAAAATTTCAAAAAAAAAAAAATTAAAATCCGGCCCGGACCGGGCCCGAACCGGCCGGGCCGGTTCACCAAAACCTGGGCCCGAGCCCGGACCGCCCAGCACCCGGGCCGGGCCAAACCGAACCGGTGGACCCACCGGGCCACGGGCCGGGCCGGGCCAAACAGTGACCGGGCCGGTTCGGTCCCGGGTCGGGCCGCCCGGCCCGAGTCCAGCCCTACTACCAATCGTGGTAGCAAACAAGTGTCTCAATAGAGTTTCGCCCACTCCACATTGTGACATGACTTACTATGTCTTGTGGCGCTCCCGTATCCTTGTGAAAGCCCCAAGCTATAATCTTTCTTGCATTACTTGCAAGTTGTGTACCACTTCTCGATTTTCGGGTCCTTCCACTTATCAAAATTATTTTCCATAAGGACAGATTGACTTTTCTTCTTATTGACGGATTGGGATGAGCCATCCTCATTCTCGTCCTCATCGGGGTTGCCGTCACCCTTGTCCTCCGGAGCTGGCAGTGCATCCTCATCCTCGAGCTCTTCCTCTTCTTGAAAATCGGGGATGTCACATTGTTGGAAAAAGCGCTCATTATGTTCGTTCAATGCTTGTTGTAGTTGCTTGTCGGACATCGCAATTGCATCTCTCCGTTGGTAATTCGTGTCAAAATCATCTCGCCTTTGAGAAGAAGACATGATATGTCCTTTACCTTTGCGTGAAGAAGGATGATTCTTCGCAGTCTCCTTCCTTCGATTCTGAGTGAGGTTACCCATATCAATCGAATGTCTACCACGTTGCATCATAATTAATATATAGATAGACATAATAATTGTATAATTGTATAAATGGTAAAATAAATGCATAAGAGAATAAGAGAATTTGAGAAAATGAAGATGGAGATGATTAAGAGTATTATAGAGTAGAGAGTAGGAAGAGTTGGAGAAGAGGTGTGAGAAAATGTGAGAAAATGGGAGTATTTATAGTTTTTTTGTACCCCCCCCCCCCCCCCCCCCCTCATTGCACCCAACGGCTATATATCCGTTTGGGGCTTTTTCCCGACGGCCAGGAAGAGTTGGAAACGTAAAAAAAATAGCCGTTAGGCCCGAACAGGGCCGGGCCGGTTCGCTATTTAGACGTCCCGGAACCGCCGCCGGTTAGAACGCCGGGTCGGGCAAAAGCCCGATACCATAACCGGGCACCCGGGCCGGGCCGGGCCCACACATTAGCGGGCTGGGCCGGTCGAACCGGACCGGGTCCATCTCTACTACAGATTTATGCTCTCGCACAAAACAGTATCCCCTTTCTTTAGTCTTTGTTCTACGTGAGATTTCACCATGGTCCAAACTATCTCTAAATTTGGTCAACTTCCCCCTACGAATTACAAATGTAGAGTATGGAAATCTAAAATATTACCGTGTCTTCTGGTGTATGGAATCAATCATCTAGTAGTCTAGTACTCTGTAGGAGAACGTGGAAATTCCTAAAGCATTTTGTTAGAAATATAAAGTGTTGTAAATTCCCGCATAAGATTATAGAGCCAGAGAGTAAAGAGTAGCATAGAAAGTCCAAGAGTAAGCAATTCTCTAGCTTTGTGGACCAATATAAATAGTGGTGAGACTTCTGATTCTGAAGCACTCTGAGGAAGGCTTCTTGAGTAGTGAAGAGTGAGTGTCCTTTGAAAGAGAAATAAGAACTTTCTTGTTAGATGAGAGAACCACAAGATACCTCATGGTGAGTGCAGGTGAAGGGTTCATTAGGAAAGAAGAGATAATCCAAAGCGGCTTCTCAATTCTCATGTGTTATGACTGTAAATGAGTTTCATGTACACTTGTAAAAACCTTTCTTATCCAATTCACTGCATTTGTCACACAATATTGTTATCATTACCCTAACAATTTGACAAGTATGCATTTTTCATGTGTCACATGTTCTGTCATGCCTAATATTCTCCATAATGTTTAGTTAAACCACATTGGGATAAGGGTCAGATAGGGCCTCGAACTCGAAAAAAAATGTCAAATAAGGTCATATTTCGGATGCTCTGTCTGGCCGACGCCATTTGGGGCGGTTCCCGGTGGAATTTTTTGATAAAA